AACATTTCTAAAACAAAAAAATTTACAAAAAGTTAAAAAGTAAAAATAAATTATGTCAACAACACCAACAGCAGTAGTAGTAGCAGTAACACCTTTATCACTGAAGTAGCAACAATGACTTCAACCTCTCTAACCTCATCCACCTCGTGCTTGTCTCTTAAAACTACCTCAAGTTCAGTATCTATGGCCCTATCATCGTCTTCTTCCTCTTTCTCAGGCTAACTTAGAAAAGGCCTTGATCTGATATTGCTGATATCAATATCAGAAAGATTGAGGTCAAGGTCGATAACTTTGAATTGCACCTCATCTTTGGCCAGATCGAAAGCACTGAGCACATTTTCCTTAGAGAGCTTCACTCGAAGTTAGAGGAATTCATTGAAGGCCTTGAAGTCATCAATAACTTTTTTTTTTTTAGTTCTTCTTTCTCTTTTTCCCCAACCTCTAACTTAGACCTCAACCTTGCTATCTCAACTTGAGCATAATTAAACTTGAGCTCAATCTGCTCTTTCATAGGATCAATCGAAACTTTCTCAATCAAGATGGCCACATCATTCTCGGCTTTGAACAAGTGAGCCATGGTATGATAAGAATGGTGAAAGGCCTAGCTGGCATTGTTTAGGAATAGAGGTGGGAGCTTCTGTTAGACTAAATGATATGAGCTCACACTTGAGTAAAAACAAAAATAAAAAACAATGAAAAGCTGAGATGAAGTTAAGTAATGCTTACTAAGGGGATAGACTGCGACTTTGCAGAACTTTTTCACCATATCGAAGTTCTCTGTGGGGTCATCGATGGGAGTATACTCCAACATTGTGCAAATCTTCTTTGAATTTGAACTTAACACCTTTACCTCGGGATTCTTTAAGGTGAAAAAGAAGACCTAGATTCAATTTCTTGACAAGAAGAGGTCCTATGGAAGAAAGCTCTCAATGAGCTATAAACTTCATCTTTTAGATGATGAGGGAGTGTTGGGATAAAGTGCCTAACAATCGGCCCATTGAAGGGTTAATGACCTTGTTCCCTTAGCAAAAAGATGCCCCAAGCTTTATTTTTTTGGCTTTGGGCCCTCTTGGGCCTAGGGGTGTGCTGAAATAGGAAGAAGTTAAAGTCTTTGTTGATGGACATCCTTATAAAATTGAGCTAATAATTAGATAAAAATTAAGTTTAAAAAAATCCTATAAGGTTACCTCACACCTACCCTAATACTTTATCTCATTTTTTTACTTCGAAGGAGGTCAACTCGTGGGTATCAATGATGAACTCCCTCATAGGGGCGTAATCCATTATTTGTCTTAATCTAACAGATCCAAGATAGAGAGAGCTACTAGTGCATCTATAAAAATGTCAAGCCCATTTATTATCTCTCATGCCTCAACCTTGGTAGTCAAACCGACCTCGATCTCATCATCTTTATTTTTTTTTACTTTTGAAGGCAAAAAAAAAGTAACTTTCAAGTTTTTATATAGCTCGGGTAATTAGCAAATAATTTTTTATTGGATCGAGCTATTATGTAATACCACTTCCTATTGTTGGGATGTTTTTTAAAGAAAGAAATTCCTTGAATAGAGGGAGAACAAGAAGAATATCTAGATGTTGACAAAGAATGATAGTTGAGTAATAGTTAATTTGTAATAATTAAAAAATAAAACAAATAAAAAATGAAATGGAATCCTCAGACCAACCATGAATGAATCCCAATAAACATAGAGTCGATGTGGCTCAATTTATCAATGACTCAATCTAAGGAACTCGGTATTAATATGCAGCATTGATGTGATAAGCTAAACACATGTTAGAATAGTCTTTGAGATTAGCCCTGCCCTTTAGTTCCCTTATCACGTCTTTAGGGATCGTGTCGAGGTCACATGAAATATATACAAGAACCTTAGCCAGTTTATCCTGCTCTATAGGATCCCTTTTCTCGCCTTCACTTTTCCTAGTTGAGGTACTCTCTTCGTCTTGTTCCTTATTAGAACCCTCATCATCGTTAGAATCTTCACCGCCAGAAAACTCTAGCTTCTGAACAGGAATAAGATTTTGATATTGAAACGTAGCTGAGAGCAATATGATCTCAAGAGAAAAAAGGTAAGGTGGAGACCCTTCAAGAGAAGAAGTAATCTCAGCAATAGTTGATCGATAAAGAATGGAAGTGACAACGAGAGCATCTATAGGTGGAAAAGTAGAAGTAGAAGAAAACTAATGAGACTGGACCCTAGAAGGAAAAACAACTAAAGATGAAAAAAGGTCAACCATAGAAGACAGACCAACCTGATAGATAGGGAAAAGAGGTGGATTCTATAACTCAAAATCTATCTGAGCACACAACTTTTTTATGTTTAGGACCAATTCTCCTTTTGGCCTAGCATTGTCATCATTTCATTGCTGCCCTTCTTTAGACATCGGGTTGAACTAAAAAGCTATTTTTTAACAATCATGACCTTCGATAACTAAAGGTATTAGGTCATCATCATTTTACTCGAGCTGACCACCCTTAGGTTCCACCCTGAAACTTTCGACGTCTCCAGAACTAAAACTAAAAGACATAATTGAAAGTATATACTGAAGAAAGCGAATAAAACATATGATAAAAAGAATAACTTTAGAGTTGAAAAGCTTTTGAAGTCAAAAAACTTTAATCGGATAGTGAGCAAAGAAAGCAAAAAGGTAGAAAATGAAAGCCCTAACGGCCCTTTATATAGCCATACCTTAGATTAAATGAACGACACAAACTACACCAAGTGTCAGAACAAAGATGGGAAGACGTCTTTTTGTCTTCCCTTTTTAGATTTTCCCACTTAAACTACCTCTCTCCTCATTTAATGTCATTAGACCGGCCAAATCGGATAGACCCTAAGTCAGACTAGCCAACTGGACAGCTCTTCGAGATAGATCGAATGCCTGATTTGTTGTCAGAGTTCAAAACAGAAATTCAAATCCAAACTCTTGAAATAAAACACAAGTCTCACGTCGACCAGATAAACTCCAACATTAATCTCATATCATCCCAAATAATTGACACTTCAATGACTCTTAAGTCAACTATGTACTCAACCTAAGAGATTCGTGCTAGATTAGACCCCCATAAGGTCAGACCATGACTTAAAGCTAATTGTCTCCCAATGTTAACCTCCACTATAATGTTGGCTACAAAGAATCAAATTTCATGTCATCCCCCTTTGTTTATTTGGCCTGTGCAGAATGTGTTGACCGCACACCCAGCAGTTTGACATTTAGACTGTTTGATGAAGGGACAGATTAATAGGAGCATTTGGTGGTCAAAAAGGTACAATGATCTTTTTCCTTATTAAAAGCCTTCAGTAAACAGCTAAGGATATTTCTGACATTTATGCTGACCTGATATGTTAGATTGACCTAACGTATTCAATGCCACATCAATTCGATTATGTTTTTATTGTCTCCTGATGGTCCCTTATCCTTACCTATAAATACAAATGTCCAGGCATAATTAAGGTAAATTCAATCTACTTTTAATTTTTTTTATTATTTTCCTTTCGACTTCACTCATTCTAACTTATCCGTGAGAGTGCAAACACAAGGAACAACCTTTGTCTTTGCCTTTAACCATTCTTCTCTATACATTTTCAGAAACAAAAAATTCATATTTTGTCAAATGCGGTTTAGAACGATTAATTCTATATATTTTATGTTACATATTTTTTAAAAGTATTACTATTGTTACTCCCCAGCGTACGAAACGTGAGTTTACACCTATGGCAAGTAAGATGATGCTATATCAACTCTTAAAATTTTGCTCTTAAAGGTATATATATATATATATATGTGTGTGTGTGTGTGTTTATCTCTTTGGTTTGATTTGCTTTTCCATTTTCTTAGATTCTTCGATTGCAATTGCTTTGATTGTTATGAGGATATTAAATTCTCCAATTCTGCATCTGAAGCTCTGAACTAGTTCATTCGGCCAAAAGTTATTGTTGTTCAAGACAGCTAAAACATAGTAGTACTGAAATCTCCAACTTCGAAAACAAGCTGCCGTATGATTTTAGAGTTTCTTAAGATGTATTGGCAGCTATTGCTAGTGTGCAAATCATGGGTGGTTAAGTAAATCAGAGTTTGTGATCATTTGTTCTCCATCCTCCTAGCTGAACCACTAGTTCTGGAATGCCGCCCTTCCTATGTTGCTGCTTAACAATTAGTTCTCCGCTAAAAATTAAAACTAAATTGCAACACTTGATGTCATTTTAAGGCATGCCGGATTTTGGTTTGAATAGGCTTGCTATGATTAACTGCCAGAAAAATGGTTAGACGGACAGATGCGCCATGTTGGAACAGGGTCTATATTAATCCTTCAAACATTGAACGATGCAAGCAAAAGTCGATAGAGCGATGAAACAATCGTGTTTAGTTCCAGTTTTCTAAGAAACTTGCCCGTATGAACCAGGTGCATTAACATGGAATTGTGTTTTGGATTGCTCTCCAGATAATACACTATATTTCCCCAAATTGCCCATGTATTTCACCTCATTGTTTTACAATCCAATCTGTCTGCGTTTATATTGTCAATTGACATGATTTTACTTAAACCATTTCTCAATTTTGTGATTGTATTCTCATGCAAATCCACTAATACTGCTTAGAAGTAGCAAAATCAAGAACATCAGATGAGCTATTTCGAGCACTACAGCCAAAGAGGCCAGGCCATCAACAACAACAAAAACATACAGATGAACTATAAGTATGTTATTACCATCTAATTATAGATGATATTAGTTTACAAAAATTCTAAATTATTCTCTCTATGTAGTACACATTTTCCTTTATCATCACCATCAAAATCATAATATAGAGCAGAGCGTAAAAGATACTAACCCGTTACGCAAAATATATTTTTCTTCACCCCAACAATCAAATATCACCACCGAAATCGCCAATCCCTCATCACTACTAAGAATGACAAATGAAGCAAAGCAAAGCCAAAAAAAAAAAAAAAAAGATTTTGAGGAAAACCCATTTGAACCAACCTTATCAATCATCCAACTGTTGAAGCTCAGCCTTCAACTGCTGAATCTTGAGTCCCATTGAACGCTGCAAAACCGCCTTTTGGGACTCTGATAGCTTTCCCAACAGCCTTTCGAACATGTCCAAAACCTCTTTAACAGCAGCACGAGCACATTCTGCTTCCTCGTTGAAATAAACAGTCTCTTTTGACTCCGTTGCCATCTCTATCTCCTCCCTTGCCTCTGCAAACTTGAGGTTGATCGAGTCAACCTCCTTGTTCACATCCAACTCGGATGCTGACTCAGTACTGTACTCTCTCAGCTTTTGGTAAACTGGGTGTTGAGTTGGAGAGGTTTTGAAGATTGGGTATTGAAAAAGGTTGGATTTTGAGTGGAAAAAAGCGAGTTTTGAAGATGGGACTGAGTTGGGAACGAGTTGAGTCGGAATCGGCCAAAGCGAGACGAGAAATGGGTAAGTAGATTTTAGAGGTAATTGAAAAGGTTGCCTCAAAAGGAATTTGTATAGGGAAATTTGTGAAAAATAAGGCATTTTTGGATTTCTCTTGTTCAATTTTAGTTCAACACAGGTGAAGAAGAAGAAGAAGAAAAATGGGTGTACTGGAACTCAGGAAAAATTGCGAATTCCCAATATTTTGAGAGGTGAAAATTGAGGCCTAGGCATGGTAGTTTTGGACGCTTAGGACCAATGAGAATGTTAAATAGGCCCATATATTTGAAGGTAAAAGGCTTTTTTCGAGGGTCAAAAGACATTAGGGACAATGAAAATCAAATGACGGTTTACAGATTACCACTTGGTTAGTAAATTTTTTTGAACTATTTATAGTCTTCTTTCTTTTAAAAACTTACAAGATAAACCTTTGTGCTTATGAGCAACCTTGCTTGGTTCTTATAGTCGTCCATTAGGCATTTGGGACATGTTCAACTGTTGTCGGTAGAAGCCTGTTTCCATAAACCAAACCATTAAGTCAATTCAGGTTAAACCAAAAAACGCCAACTCATCAAAAGTTTTGATTGCAGAAACCAGTGAAGGTCAATGTTCACCTAAACCACATAACCAGTCAAATTCTAACAAATCCTTGAACTTCAACGACCCCATTTATAATATAGCAACACAAAGAGGTTATATAAACTTCCTCACCATTTCCCAAAAAACTCACCCCCAGTCTCAGGTTTCTCATGGCTCGCCAACTTCTCTTCGTACCAGCATCACCACTTAGCGCATCTCAAGCAGGCCTCGCTGTAGTTACACTTATTCTATGTGCTTTTGCAGTGATCAAGTGTGCTTCCCACACCCGCAAATTGCGTCGTCAATGGAGAGCTTGCTATGAATTTTTTGATGATGAAGATCCTGTCATAGAAATAAACCATGAAGTCATGACCTCGGAAGTTAATGGCTATCAACCTAAAGGAGATGTGGACACAAGCATGTTCAGCCGTGAACAACCAGTTTGGCAGAAGAACATACTCATGGGAGAGAAATGTCGGCTGCCCGATTTCTCTGGGGTCATAATATATGATTCTGAAGGCAACATTATTACCCCTTCCAAAACCCCTCACCCTCTACTCACCTGGAAATGATTAAAGAAAGAAGTTGAGGTTCAAGAGGAGTGTCGACTACAACTTTTAACTGCTGCTCTTATTTCCAGGCTGGCTTTACAACATTTAGATGTATCTATAACAGGATAATGACAATAAAGTAAAATCATCAGAATACCCTGTAAGAACAAGCCTTCTGGAATATTTAAGCCAATCCGATAATGAATTCCATACATTGCATTAGATTTAGTTCTACTTCAATTATTGTAAATTATGGCACACGGTCAGAGTGGATGAAAATCAATGCCAATATAGAAAAATAATGATTACATATCCTTTCCCATGTATGAATTTTCTCCACAGCAAGTTAATATAATTCCCCCCTTGCCACAAGGCTATATGGCATCCTCAGCTAACCCTTAAAGGTGCATTGTGGAAAGACAATCTAGATGTCTTACAACAGTTCTAGGTGGTAGATAAGAGAGACCTGCATTTAGTGGAAATCTTTTTTTCGTTTTCATTAATGATACTTACATGTTAAAAAGTCATTTGCAAAACCCAGAAACTTGATCACAATCAACAAGGCCTAAATGATTCTCTCTTGCTCAAGGAAGCTCGACCCAACAACATTCAGTTTCCTGCCTCTAGAACTCACACCAATGGATCTGTTTTTCCTTCCTGATGAAGATGCTTTTGCAGTCTTCAAAATTTGACACCTTAAATATTTGCTTTGAAGGTTTTGCTGGAGTAGGTAATTTTACTGATTTCACAATGGAGGGTTTTTTTTCCCTGATGCGTGGGCAGACACAACTTTAGTCTTGTTTTTTCTGATTTGACACATTAAACAGTTCAGCATTCTTCCCCTTCTGCTGAGTTATCCGAGCCCTTGCAATATCCATTTGGACATTATCAGCTGTAAGAGATTCCAAACTCTCTTTTTTTTTCTTATTGCCTTCCCGATCCTTTCTGCTAACGGTAGATCCTTTTAGCCACCAAATTTGTTACTTTCCGTGAAGACACAAGATTTTGAGATTTATATTTGCTTAGAAACACAGTCCTCTACCACTTAAAAAATGAAAAACCAAAACGGGCACAAATGTAAAGAATTTCCAAACCTGATAAAAATAACCTCTGCATCTAAGTGGAGAAAAGAAGATAGGATATTAGATGCAAAAATGTCATAGTAAGATTCATGTTGTCAAACTGATTATCTCTTGTCCACGTAAAGATGCAGTAACATAAGTAACATACAAAATGGTTTTTTCATTTTCCTTTTCTTAGGGAAAAAAGGGGCTCAATGAACAAATTGATCTCCAAGGGGAAAGTAGAAACAGTTTATTGATAACAATACCATGGTTGTTTGGGATGGGCACATAACCAAAAATTTCCTTGGAAATTTCCATATAATACACTTAAACTTTTGGTTGAAAGAATAAATATTATGATTGGTGAAGTTGATAAAGCATATCTATGGATTTGATTGTGCAGCATCTGGAACTCACATTCATGGTGCATCTTAATACAAGTTAAAAGGAAAATGACACTTTCTTTATTTAAGGGAATAGAAATAAAACAAGTGATGCAGAGACTTGAAATGAAATGTTCACTGACCTTTTGCACCCATAGGTGCAGTTCTTCCGTTGTGACGAAGGTAGTCAATCTAAAAGGCCAAAGAAAAGTTAGACCAAATAGAATTAAAGAAAAGGGGCATAAAAGCAAAGGGGTTAAGGTTGGAGAGAAAAGCAAGCTAAGATTATACCAATTTGACCAAAGATATAATGCTCACAGAGTAGTCAAACATGGTAACATGATTAACATCCAAGTCCAGTCCCCTAGCAACCAAGTCTGTGCAAACCAATGTTGGATAGTCTTCATCATCACTCTTGAACTTATTCAGGCTGTTTTTACAAGAAAAACAGTTGGACGACCTATTTTGGAGAAACATACATGCATATGTGCATTATATCCTTGCACTAGATCTACCATGTACATCTAGTAATATCTCACTTTTGTTCTGTAGGCACCTCACCATGGTAATTGACATTAGAGATGATTTTTGCCGAGAAAATGATCCACAGCACTGCTAGAGTTTAATGTATTACAGAACACCATCACTCTGTTTCCTTAGCTAAACTTTGCTCAAGAACCTGTCAACACATCAAAACTAAACCTATGCAAGTTACTGCACTTATTCAGAATGCTTATATTACAAACTAGATCACTTTAACTGTTAACTTAAATCAATCTGACATCTCAAACTCTGCTTATAAAATTAATGTTTATTGGAGAAAACACTTCACTAGTTTTGTCAAAATTCTAATCAAACTATTTTTCAGAGAGCATGCAGCTGACTCGTTAAATTCCCAAGATCCTGCCCATGGGGAAAAAAATGAAGGTAGGAGCCCTCATAGATTTTACCAACCACAATGTAGAGGTTGACCAAAGATTTAGAATACAAACAAAAGGTAGACAGGTTAAGTTATGAAGCAACTTCAAGGTGACAGATTTTCCAAATCTTAGGTATTATTTTTAGCCATCGGGGAATCTCAGGGAACAAATATTAGGCAGTGGCATTTTCTTCTTCTACCTACCCAGTGCAAGCATAAACTGTCTACAGCACATTCATATTAGGGAAAATTACACTGTACCCCCTTCTATGATGCAGATCCTTTTTTTAAAGCATTGCCATCCAATCTAAAGCCAATAGGAAATTAAGTCCAGAGGTCCAAGCCGATTGTAAGGTCACTACAAAGTATAAACCTAATCAATGTAGGATAGCACTACTTAACATAGCTCACATGTAGGCCAACAACAAGTACAATAGGCTTACCATGTGCTTAATGCAACAAACAAGTGGGCTCTGCTACCATATTAAAGCATGGTGTCCAATTAAAACCACTTGGGTATGGTTGAAAAGGCCCAACCTGAATCTAAAGGCCAGTACAAACTACAACATAACTGACGTGGGATATAATGCCACTTAACACTCCTATTAAATGATTTTAATACAGTTGTTAATCTATAGAAGTCCTCCTTGATGTCAAAACTACATTAGGATATATTTAAAACAGTTCTGTAGAAACAAAATTGTAAAAAGAATCATAATCAAAAGTATTGACTTGGAACTACATATTTTTAAGGACCGTCATTTAAAAATGAAAAGTTGAAGTTCTACCAAATGCAACATATTACCTAGGAGATGCCTTTTGTGCAACAATTTCATATGTTTATTACTATTAACTAGAGATTTTTGAAAAGCATAATAATATGGTCCTCTTATTTTGAATAATACTATAATATACTCTTCTTGAGATTTTCTGCAGGAAATTGTGAAACATTGATGACAAAACCACCATTCTTTTATTCCTCAAAAATAACAAACTAAAAGTGAATGAAAAAAAAACCACAGAAGAGGACCTGCAGTAATGCTTCCAGCTTGTTTTCAGAACCTGAAAGTTTGATGAAATCATGCCGAGCAGATGCTATTTTCTTGTGCAGTGTTGATGTTCGTAGATGCTCTATTCCTTGAAATTCCTCATCAATCAGTTTCTGCACAGCCAGAAATTTTTCACAAATATTAAAATTTGAAATTCTCATTAGACCAAAGCAAAAACCACTAAAAAGCATGTTACTATAAACCTAAATACCTAAGAAGTAACATTGCACCTAAATTTTGTCTCAAGTGTTAATAAGAAAGCAGAAAGATAACAAGTACACCCTTAAAATTTATAACAGCCTGCAGAAAGATTTTTGGCATCTTCTTCTACAAACCCACCTAAAACATAATCGAGTCAAAAGTTTCAAATCTAGATCTCTGGAAATGTTCTAACTAATAGTTGGCCTTCAATGTGCACCAACATTAAATTCTTTAAAAAGGCTCAATGTCAAAAACCAATATCACATATTTAATCTAAAATCTAATGCCCTGAACAAACAAGAATCACAAAAACCACATCTATAATAATTACCCAAGCAATAAAAAAGGAATTTCTTCATTTCAACATCCCAATATCTAGATCCCAGTAAAGGGAAATGGACTAACCGTAAATACTATGAAGGTAAATGATGATGTATAGTGAGCCAAAACAAAAACTTAGTTTCAACAATAGCACATAGCATAAGAATGAATGTACAACACAATAATTATCTGTCATCCTTGCAGTCACTAGAATAGTTTGAAATCCTTGGCCATTGTTTAATGCACGATTTTTTCCTGGACCAGGAAACTTGCAAATGTCAGGACCAAAGCCACGGTCAAACATGGTGTCTGCCTCATCCAAAACCTACAAAATGATTAGAAGCATACAAGTGCATTGATCATAAAGTTCTTCGCAAATTTCAAGACTAAGGAGAAAACGTGCTTATTTAGGGTAGAAGGACATTGGAGACTAGTCTATAAAATATGTAAATTCAAATATATATACTAGCACATTTACCAAGTATTTGATGTCACCATAAATCATATTCCCATCCCCAATATGTTGAAGAACCCTGCCAGGGGTCCCAACTACCATGTCAATTGGGTTATTCGAAAAATCCTCTTGTGGTCTCAACTGGCGTCCACCACTGACCATAGAGGACTGAAATCTTGCATGATGGCTAATAGACTTAGCCACACGAAAAACCTAAAAAGCCCATTAATGTTAATCTATATTGCCAAAGTCTACAAAGATTGAATAAAGTCTGAAGGCCAAATAGCAGAGCAAGTAACCAAAACCTGCTCAGATTGATCTCTTGTGGGGCAAAGAACAACTGCTCTAAAACGCCTGGGCTTTGCTAGCATACCTAACATTGCCTCGTCCGCCTCAGCAACTGCAAGATAAGCATATAAAAGCAAATTGCCTTTAAATTCTTAGAACTTCCAGTACCAACATAATCCACATGAAATTGGTTTCAATGCTTTCTGAGCATGTCAATAAGTAAAATCAAATCTTTACTGATCAAATGTTGAAATTTTCCAATCAACCACAAACTAAGATGGATTTGAACTGATATAAGTAAGGCATAGAACGCTCAGAAACCAAAATCACAATTCCATGCCTGTGGGTGCAAAACTGCAAATGAATATTCAATGTCTCAAATTTTCAATTCATCCACAAGGCATAATGAGATAAACACCCAAAACCGAATCCAATCAAGGGAACATCTGAAAGGGGGAAATATAAGAAAAATGCAACTTTCAATCACCAAACACAATAATTAAAAGGGAAAAAAAGAATGAAATGAACCTGAACAAAAAAGCCAACATACAAGGCAAAACCTCCTTTAAAAAAAATCCAAAATTTATTCCAAAGAACAATGAAGAGATAACTAGACCTGAACAAGTAGCAACATATAAGCAAGACTCTTGCCAGAGCCAGTATGAGAACCCAAAACCACACTTCTCTCTTCCAAAACAGAAGGAATCCCAATACACTGAATCTCAGTTGGAACTTCAATCCCCATCTCTCTAACAGCACCCATCAATTCTTCACTCAAACCCAGCTCCTCAAAGCTTTCGACCATGCCTTTTTCTTCTTCCTTCTCACTCTCTTTACCAAAAACAGCCCGCTTTTCTCGAGGTTTAGAGCGAAATGGGGATTTAATAGTCTTTAAGGTGTCTCATTCTAAGCCTTTCAAGCAGCATGGTGTGTTTCAACTCGTCAGGTTCGATGGCGATGGGGGTTGGGGCAGTAAAAAAAGGCTTAAACCGTGGTAAAACCCTAGAGGGTTTAGGGAGTCTGAGAAATGGGTAGCGAGAGAAATGATTGGTTGAGAAGATAGATACAGAGAGAGAAGGGAGAGTTTTTGATGTTCCTCCCATCATGTTCTCTAGGCAGTTTGTTTTTGTGGGTTTTGCATTTTTATCAGGACTTTGGATTTGTTTGCTGCTTTAGCTTTTGGCTAGCAAGAGACGGTGAGATGATGATGTTCGTATCCTTTCGCCGTTGTGGCAAGAATGTGATGATTGACGAAGTCCCAAATGGATCAGGTTTTTAAGCCCATCCTGGAAGACAAGTTGCTCCTGAAATGGGTTTAAGACTTACTTCACTCGTAAACAAGTATTTGAATCCAAGTAACCATTTTCCTTGTTTAGAAAGCAAGGGCTTTTCGCTTTAGGTGGAACTTTTCTTTGTCACGAGCTCTGTTTCGAGAGAAAAACATGCATTAGGCAGGCACACTAATAATCTCTACCGATTGAGCCAGGCTGGGTTGGTCAGAAAGGCAATAGCAGTACACATTTTGAGCCTTTTGAAACAAAATTTCAGATACAGGATTCATCTTCACCCGGATTAGGCAACTAAAACGCAAGGGAATAATTTATATATTGGTGCACAAAGTAATTGATGATTCCATTCCAGCCAGAGCACTCCCTCAGGCCTCAACCTGGGAGAAAACCAGTGCTATCATTTCTCATTTGATCAGCACAGGACTTTGAAAAGACTTTTTCTTGCGATTGAACAGTGTCCGGGCACTGGCACCAGGATAGAGAAAACGAGTAACGAGAAAAAACAGCAGCATTCAGGATCATGCCTGACTACACCCCTTGCGCATGACACTTTTGCCGCACAATTAGAGCTCCAATGTCCAGGATCAAACAACATAGATACAACATACAAGTGAGAACTCTCCAGCCGTTGGGCTTTAATAATTCAGAAGAGAAACATTGGTCTAAACCAAAAGAAAAACAAATGCAGTCCTACATCACAAAATAAACTCCAAAATTAAAAGATGTCACTTGTGCAATAAAAAAAAATCATCGTAGAATTAATTACAATTATTTATAATAATTCAAAAGATATCAAGCAGTGCACCCGTCTAGCAACAATCAAGTTGCCCGGTACCATCCCCCCGTAAATGGAACAAAGTTTTCCAGTAACTAAGAAAAAAAAAAAAAGAAAGAAATATTAAGAAGTACAGCAGCTCTTCAAGACGAATCAAAGATCAGCTAACTGTGCATACGGGTCAGGACTTGCTCCTTCAGAGCATGGTAAGGCCCGTAACCAATGACATAAATCATGATGAATTAAGGGAATCCATTGCTTCAGCAATTTTTATCTTCAAAGCATCCACAGACTCAGTAAGGCCAAATACCTCTTGATGATCCATCTCCAGCAACATTGCAGCCAACTTTCCAGCATTATTTTGTTCAAGATGCTCCATAAGAGGAGTTAACTGTTTTCCGAACATCTGTAATTTTGGACAAAAAAAATTATTCAGAACAGATGTGCAGTTCATAATACAGATAATTTGAAACTTCAAGCATGGTCTAAAGCCTTGTAAATGAATTATCAGTTCGCTAAGACAATAAAACTGTAGAACTCCAAGCAAATCATCCTACCTTTGTTATTGTTGAAGTGACTAGAACAGTTTGAAGTCCAAAGTCTTTGGCTTTTGATGCACGTTTCTTTAGATGGCTGAGGATCTTGTATATTTCAGAACCAAAGCCATGATCGAACATAGAGTCCATCTCATCCAACACCTATCCAGAGATTTGGTCATCAGTAAATATGCAAGATATTGAATGTCATTAAGAACCAGATTATCCTACTACTCTTAGAAATCAGAATCCTAACACATAAATTGCAGCATACTTAAAAGTTTCTTGTGTGGTTGTGTACTTAAAATTAATATACCTTAAATGTAAGAAAACTTTAGGATACTTACCAAGTATTTGATGTCATCTAGAATGACACTTCCCTCCTCAATGTACTGAATAGTCTCACTGGGAGTTGCAACAAGCATGCCAATTGAGTCATTTGGCAAATTCTTGGAGGTTCTTGACTTGCCGCAACCACTTTCCAAGGCAGACTTCAACTTCGCATGATAACTGATGAACCTTGCTACTTGAAAACCCTGCATGATCATCTTGATTTAATTGCAAATTTCCACCGGTGAGAAAAATGAGATTTGCATGAGTGCAAATCTAATTCAGACAATCTTTCATGTGGGTGTAAAAACAATAGAATCATTGGAATAGACACATAAAAAACTTTACATACAAGATGCGAGGTTGTCAGATTGGTACAAGTGGAGAAAAAAAGGATGGAACTTAAAAACATTTCTTTCTTCAGATATCCATTTTCCTGGAGAAAAATAAAAAGATATCTCCACAAAGTGGCATCTTGACCCCACCAAGAATGAGAATAACAAATTCTAAGAAATTAAAAAAAAAAAAGATTTATTCCAAGAATATTATATTGAAAAAATACAAAGGTGGTGTGAGCGACCTGGTCACATAGTTCGTCTGAGGTGCATAACACCATAGCTCGGGGATGCTTTGGCTTCACACTTATCAATGCCTCATCCTGTCTCAGAAGCTGTTCAACGAAATGTAAGTATTTCCTTTTAACCTTTATTACAAACATTCGGTTACTGTTATCTCAATATAAGTTAATTACTTTTTATTATGCATATAAAAAAGGGCACATTTCTAATGTTTAATTTATGGAGCGAGGTATGAGACGGTAGATATTGCAACACAACAAAGCACATTTCATGAATTGAAAGGAAGGAAATCAATGATTCAAAACAGTGTCGATATACCAATATCACAACCCTCACCATCCTCAGCATAGACAAAAGTTAGTGACAAACTTAAATCAATTAAAAAGAAAGAATCTGGAAATAAATGGAGGACTTGGAAGTAGAAGCTTGCAGCACGGCAAACAGTTGTTTGAACTTTAATTTCGAAGCACAAGATATAATTTTAGCTCTTGTTTGCTTAAATAATTACTTTTAGTAGCTTCAGTTGCAAAGTACAACTTTCAAAACAAAAAAAAAATGGCATTTTGTAAAGATTTTACACACAAAACCCTCAGTTCAGCTAGTATGCTGACAAAATTGAGTCTCGAGCAGCAAAGCAAACATCAAGTACTAAAGTTGAACAACTTTCAGAAAGCTAAAGCAAATCAAATACATGCTTTTCCTTTTCAATCTTTTCTATATCATGGACAAGGGAAAAAAACATATAACTAGACCTAAAAGACATTATATATTATACGAAAAGAAAGGTGTACCTGAATAAGAGGCAACAAGTAAGCCAAAGTCCTTCCAGACCCAGACTCAGAACTCAAGACAACGCTTTTCCCATCCAACAAAGTTGGGATCCCAACACACTGAATTTCAGAAGGAACCCATATTCCCATCTCACTCAAAGCCCCAATTATCTCAGCTTTCAAACCCAGTTCTTGGAAACTAGAAACAAACTTTGTAGCACCACTTTTGTTATTCTCAAAACCAACTTGATGCCTTTCTCTTTCCTTTTCAACAACAGTCGAAGCAGGTTTTGAAGTTGATGATTGCTGTTGTTTAGTATTAGACTCCGAGTTGCTTTTCACGAAACCTTTGAGCTGTCTTTGTCTGAACTTCTCAAGAATGAGGGAGTCCCTCTTGGATTTTTGTGACGAAGATTGTTCTGTTTCTGTTTTTGTGACAGCCTTAGCGGTGGAAGAAGAGAGAGGCCTAATTGATGGAAAGGGCTTGCTGGGTGTCAAAGGTTTGGTTGAAGAAAGAAGTTTTGAGGAGAAAGCAACACCGCTTGGGAAAAGTGATTTGCTTGTTCTTTTCATGGTCTTTGCTGTCTGTTTTCGTTTCTGGTTTCTATGTCACATTTGTTAAGGTTTGGTTATGGAACAGCCGACAGCGGCAAATAATAAGTCAATAGGGGATGGAGTCTGGACTGGAGAGCGGAGTCGATTTTTGACCGGTTTAAGGATTTTATAACAGTGCAGAATATCAGGACCGTTTGGCTTTAAAGGCCTGAACCCAGTGGAGATTTAACTCTTGAACCACGTCAAGATGATGCTTTTGTATAGCTACAGCAGAAGCCTTTACAAATTGAAGGATACCATATGAGCAATTTCCTATTGGTGGGCTCATTTGCTTTTTTTTTTTTTTTCTGGTTTTTAACAAGTTAAACCAGAAATATCAGTCGCATGACCAGTTTACAATCTGCATTCTGCATCCTGCATCCTGCATCCTGGTTTCAGGATTGGAATCATTTGTTTTGTTCGGCAGGAGTGAATTCTGCCCTTACCTTTTTTGTAGGATTTTAAGTTTTTAACCATGTTCAATGATACGAGCTTCAGAAACCATCTTCCAAGCCAAAGTACCCTTATCGGGAACAAAGTGGACCTGTCACCTTGCCAAGACATTTCCAACCAAAACTAACTCAACTCAACCTTTCTCTATTGTATTAACTCATTTACAACAGATAGAAGTTGAGACAAATCAAAACCTCTCTGTCTCCCTCCCTTCTAACGGGTGCATCAATGGCTGCATTGCACGGGGAATAAACATTTACATTGTCATGTTTGCTAATCAGGAGGAGAGTTCAGTTTATAAATTAAATTCACCGTAAGCATCATTTCCAATGTGTGCAAATTTTACTTTTATATATATATATATATATATATATTGTGTGAAGAAATCAAGATATAAATTGGCAAAGATACTATATAAGTGAAGAACAAGTACATTTTTGTTCTTCCTACAAATATTTTTCTTTGGTTACAATCACTTAGGCTTTTAAAGCAAGTAATGCAAATCTATACCCCAAACTAATAACAATTGTTTACAAGTATAAAAGTTCAACATTAATATGGGGCTGCTTCTTGAATCCTATGACCTGAATTGTTCATCTACTAAAAACGCTGGAGATGAATCAAATCACTTGTAGTGTTCGGGCTTCAAGACACCAACATAAGGCAAGTTCCTATATAGTTCAGCAAAGTCCATACCATAACCTACAACGAAATAATCTGGACACTGCCAAAAACATAACATAGAAAGAAAAACATTATGATGTCTCATGTCACTGGGCATAAAATTCAATAAAAATATAATTAAAAAATTGCAATGCACAAATTACTTAGCAAACCACGCATGCCAGCTTTAAAGAAAAATCCTTAAGCATACTGGCTAAAATGACCATGTAACCTAGAGTATATAGATGACAAATATCGAAAATACAAATACCAGGAAAACAAAAGGGAATTTTTTTCAACCAGGTGCTTTACATTTCCAATGCAATAAAATGACAAATGCTTCATTTCCATGAACTAACTATGATGAATATTGTACCAATAGTTGAAATTTAGAAAATTATGGCGTTAAATTTGAAAAAGAAAAGCTAATTTAATCAGTAAAAATTTGAAAGTATGATATTAATAATTGCAACATCAAAAGCTCCAAAGATTTTAGTCTAAAACAAGGTGTTCTCCGAACAGTAATGAAAAAAAAATTACAAGCAATAAGTTTCTCCCATAAATGATCATATATTCTGGAAAAAAAGGAGTGCATTTCGCTAAAAGCAATTATTAAGATACAACAATACCACATATTTGCCCACATGTGTGCACAGAGAATGGGATACACTTACCTCAAATCCTTTGTAGAACTTTCCATCACCAACTAGCTTGATATGAACCTTCCGTCTTGCTGGTTTGTCAAGAAAAGCACAAACTGATACAGCAGATGCTCCTTTTGATTCCAAGTGTGCAATGAGAGAGGATAAAGTGCACCCTGTATCAACAATATCCTCAACCTAAGACAATAACATGGACTCTATTAGTGAATTTGGTCCTATATGCTCTGATCATAACAATCTTTAAGGCTTTGATTGATTATTACTTTTGCTCATGAGTTTTTTGTTATTTAGCTTTTACTTCCTCAAAAGTTGCCAAAAAGCATAATAATTCATTAAAAATAAGGGTAAATTACACCATTAGTCACTCAACTATAATCATATTTTTTAAATGGTCACTAAACTATTAAATTCTACAATTTGTTTGGCCAGTTATTAAATTCTTCAACTTAGTCACTAAAGTTTGAGTTAGTATTTTTTTGTCACCCAACCGTTAGTCTCTAACGACATGCTGAGGCGAAAATAACACGTCAATTGTCAAGTGCCTTGTGGCATTACCACGCCTGCAAAATTTATTTTTTCCTAAATTTATAATGCTATGTTAGCAATGCCACATGACAAATCAGATAGTATTGCCACGCCATTAGGGACTAACAGCAAGGTGACAAAAAAAAAAAAAAAACACTTACTCAAACTTTTTGTGAATAAATAAAAAATTTTAATAATTAGGTGAACATTTTAAAAACACGTTCATAGTTGAGTGACCAATGTTGTATTTTACCATAAAAATAAACAAACACTAAAATGCAATAATAAGTCCAATATAATTTATTTAAAATTAAAATGATGCATTTTGATGCCCAAAAGATTACCTTTTAAACTTTTAATTCTTCAAAAATATTATTTTTGGAAAACTTTATAGTTATTCAAAAATATTATTTGAGGGACCTAATCATATAAACCCACTTCTTATGCATTTTATCAATAAAAAAGAAAAAGCAACTAGCAAAAATAACAACCAAAGGCTACCTTAAACTAAATTTGGTTATTGCTTTTGCAATTTCATAAAAGTTACACATTTAATTCTTAATTCTTCAATGACATTGTTCGCTTTTTATCCAAAAACTTTTTTTTTTTTTGGCTTTTGATAACAAGTTGGAAAGAAAACAATAAGTAATAACTATATTAATTCCTTTTTTTTAAAAAAAAAAAAGGAGAACATGAAAGAAAAAGGGTAATAGGGATTACCAAAATGACGTGTTTGCCCTTAACATCGAACTTCAAGTCAAAGGAAATGGTTGGAGCTCCATTAGAGAGAGTACCAGATCCATAAGATTGAGCCCGAACCAAGTCAACCGAGATGGGGAGTTGGATTCCCCTGACAAGATCGGCCAAGAACAAGAAAGCGCCGGTGGCGACTCCTACAATCAGAGGAGGGTCGGGCGCTGCCTGGAAATCATGGGTAATTTGAGAAGCGATCTGGGCCACTCGGTCCAGGATCTGGTCTTGGGTCCAAAGGACCTTCTCTATGTGAGAGTCTAGAGACATGGAGATGACTTTTTTTTTTTTTTCTCTCTGTTTCTTTTGTTAGGGTTTCAGCTTTCAGGCTTGTTTTCTAAAGAAAATGATAAGAAAGCGCAGGAAAAGAAAATGTTGTACTGTGGATATAAACAAGTTGAGTTAACTTGCGTTTGGTTTGAAAAATATTCGATTTTATCTCTTTCGAGTTTGAGCTCAATCTCAAATCATTAGAATATTTCATTACCTTAATTGAAGTTTTATTTTTTAAATTATTTAAATAAATAATAAAATTTTAATATCTATATCTATATCTATAATTTTATTAAATTTAAACATATGCATTAAATAAGATTCATAATTAAAATTGGAACCTTAATTTTTCTAATAAAATAAAACTTGATCTTAATAACTAAATTAAAGAATTAACATAATATAGTTTTAAAATATATTTAAAAATAATTAATATAAAAAGGATGCATTTTTTAATTTTATTTATGAAATTTAAGAATTCTATGGAATGTGTGAATTATGAAATAATAATCCTTACAAAAAATGTTTTTTTTTTAAACTACCGAAACGTAGGAAGCCCATTTAGTAGCAGGGAGAAATGTTTTGGCACTTCACACAACAAAGTGTTTAAGAAACAAATACTGGGCCTTCCCCTCAATAGTTTGCGCGCCAAAAGGCGAAAGCTCAAAATATGAAACATCCCGCCCTTATCCCACATCTCCCCCTTAATCAACGACATCCCAGGAACACAAAAACTGAGTCATAGAGAAGAGAAAGAAAAACACCGAAGACCCAAAAAATGCCTACCACAATTTTTGTCGCCCTCCAATGCTGCCAATGCTCCACAATGCAGGCATATTAATTCTTCTACTTTCTCTTTACATATTTGTTTTATTATTATTATTATTATTAATTTTGGATTTGGTTTAAGCAGGTGAAGCAGCGGAAGAAGAGCAGCAACAAGTGGACCTGCGTTGTTTGTAATCAGAAGCAATCAGTGCTTAAGGTCTTTGCTCAGGGTCCCATGGCTAAAGACCTCCGTAAGTTCGTCCAGTCTTTCAATATGTCCCCCAAATTCACCGATCAAAACCAACCCTCTGATCCTACGTTGGAGTATGATAATAATTCTGAAGATGATGATGGTGGTGATCCGAAGAATCAGAGGAAGAGGCGCACCGATTGGACTGAGTATCTTGACCTGGAGGATCATCATCACCACAGATTAGTTTTACAGGAAGAGGAACAAGGTCACATCTACTTTGAAAAATTCACTATACTGCCATTAATACTACCATATTTATTTATTTATTTGTTTGTTTATGGCGTAGGGGATGATTTGAAGCCAAAGATTGTGACAGAGTTGCCGCCAAAGGAGCAGCTCAAGAGACCCAAATTGAGGAACTATGAGATTGGGGAAGGTGGTAATCATCAACTTTATAAACCAGTTTTCTCAAAGAGAAATAGCAGAAAGGATACTATGCTCATTTCACGACGTAATAAGATTACTCTTCCCTTGTTGCCAGAGTTACATTGCTTTTAAGATTATTGACAGCAACCAGAAAATTTTCCTTTTTAATTTCAGATGAGAAGCCAATGGGGCAGCAGCCATCAATGGGTGAAATGGACACAAGTGCTTCAAAATGGAGTGACATTTCAATTGGAATAAGTGAAAAGTCCATGAGGGATTGCAAGCCAGCAACAGCTAAAGGGAATTCCAAGTGGGAGGATTACATGACCGAAGATGAGGGTGAGAGTTTCAGACTTTGCACTGGTCGGAGAAACTTTGCAGATCATATGAACAAATGGGGTGATGCTGTTTTGGAGACAGAATCAAAATGTCAAATGGTAGAAGATGATATCCACCCTGATTTCATGTGAATGCTGGGGTTCGAATTTCAATCGAGACCTATTGTAAACAGAAATAGACGAGCTTAATCTTAATCAAATTCTACAATTTCGCCTTTAGCATTTCATATTATCTACTTTTATAGTGAAATCTGAAAGTAAAACAGACAACAAGACAAATGAAAACATGAAGAAGCATCTAGCAAAATAAAACCAAAAACTGCTATCCAGGAAAGCCTTATGAATGCTATGGTAGCAAGGATGGTAATGTGTGATTATGGGTGCTTATGTAGTTGTGCTAAAAATTAATCAGATCAAAACGGAACCTAGCTTCTGTCTGCTGCTACTCATGGATGTCATCATGTTAGGCTTTCCCTGGATTTATAGTTTGGAAACATGCAGCAGTCATGCTAACCAAAAGTTTAGAACAAAAGGTAATTCATTTGGATAAATAATGGGATTAAAATAAATGTTCTGATGTGTGTTTAAGTGTAAAAGTAAGGTGGAGGTGAAGTGAATTATAATAACAATACTACTAGAAAAAATAGTTTTAGCAACGCTTAATATTGTTGCTAAATGGCCATTTGTCGTTTTTAAAAATTTTTTGTAATGAAAAAAAGTTATTGTAAGGTAATTGCACGTATCTTTGTTGTTGTTAAAAGTTTACAAACAATTTTCATCATCTCAAAAGTCATTTTAAAAAATGTATTTTGCAACTACTTTTTATAGTTAGAAAATAAATAATATTTAAATGACTTAATATGATTGTCAAAACTTTTATTTAGCAACCACATAACAATATTATTTTGGTTGCCTAAATTTTTTTTTTTTTTGCAACGGAACATTTTTTGTTGTGAATTGCATTTGCAACAATTATTTTGTATTTACAATAATTAATTTAAAAATGACAAAAATTGTTGCCAAAAGTTTTTATAAAACAACAATTTTGTTGTTTTTATTTATTTTTGCAACAACTTAAGAATATTTAAAAACCAATATTAATGTTGCAAATAATCTTTTTCCAACAATATTTGTGTTGTTACAAATAGTAAATAAATATTTAATAACAACTTTATCAATTTTAGAAATGACCATTATTGTTGCAAAAAAGTCCATGCATAACAAAATTCATCTTGTTTACCAACCAAAATTCTTGATGCAAATATTTTTTTTTACAACAATCTTTATACCGTTTCTAATAGTTAATAAAGATTTCGAAATAACATTATTTATTTTAAAAACAATTAATATCCTTACTAAAAAAACATTGCATAACTACATTGTCTCATTGCATAATACAATACCTATACCAATGAAGCTTGGAAATCAGCAAATGTAAAAGAATACAAAATTGGGGATACACAATTACTAAATAAAATTTGCTAAATTACTCTTTGATGTCCCTTCCTTGGTCACAAAGGGAAAAGGCATAGTGTACAATATCCCATCTTTTTCAAAGATGTGGCAACCTTATTCCCGTAATTTGCTATTCTTATAAACTTTTTTTTCATATAGCTTGAGCTGCAAGCAATTAAATCACAGAATTGAGACAAACAATATGCATTTACTATCTCTTAAAGTTTCTCTAAGGGAAATGCATACTTCTGCGGAAAATGATTCAAATGTTGCTTTTTCAGAATCTTGTTTATCCCATGGGATTTTTTTACCATCAATAGCAAGATCTGAAACTGTGTCATAAGCTTCTAAAGGTTGTGCTTCCTTTTTCTCAATGTTGTCATGCGTCACTCACCACTCATATGCCTTTCTCCCTGAAATGTTTCATACATTATCATTGAACTAAGACTGTAAACATCTAAAACTTTGCCAATGTCATTATTAAGCTAATTTCTATCTCAAAAACTTTAGAAACTAATTATGTTTAAACGTAAAAACTAGCAGTAGAAAGTCAAGCCAATACAAACATTCACTATAGACAAGCCTTACAAGTCAAAATTTTTGTGTTATACGCAAGCCAATTATTTATAAGAGATAGCCATTTCAATCTTGAAAAAGTTATATCCATACTCACATTGCTTTTATTAGTTTGGATGAGCCACCGAGCTCTTTTTTAGCAAGTTACACCTACTAATGTTAATGTAAAAGTTTTTATCAAGCAACAAACAAAAAAACTTAGAGCATTACAAGTCTGAGACTTTGCAAGGCAGGAAACAATTACCAATGACGGAGCTAGAGACCTTCCCTTAATGTTTTTCTATATTTGATTTTCAGTATTGCTGCATTAGAAGAGTTGCACATTCAATCAAAGAAAAAATATGAAGATCAACAATAGTAAAATTGTTTCATGTACATGTGTGCGAGTAAGACAACCCATCAAAGAAATCATTAGGTAATAAAGAGTAAGTGCACATTATTGCTGGTTTTTGCTATATCTAATAGTTGATTTAGACATTTCAAACTCCTCTTTTACTTTTAAGAACTAAAAAAGCTACTGATGAAAATAATAAGCTTTGTTCATAAAGAAGAAAAAAATCAATGTTACATTTCTTATTGACAAGGTTTAATTTCATTTAATTTAAAAATTCTACTAGTTAAGGAAAAATGAATCGAAAATAATGAATAAAAACCACCATATATCTTAAACATTAGAGAAAAAAATGAAGAAAAAAGCCAACATAAAAACTTACAAACATAGCTTCATTGTTATTAATAGTTGTCACAGTCTACTTGATTGCCAAACCAATGATAGCAAGCAACTTTGTGGACACGCAATCATCAAACATTTTTTATGCTTGCATATAAAGTTCCCCTATCAAGTTTGAAGAAACTTAAGAAACAGTGATTAAACTCAGATTTTCTTTAAATCTCAATAGTTGCAAAGTACTTAAAGACTAAATATTTGACTTATAACCATAAAGTATATCAACAAGTAAATCATGGCACATATAACTAAAAGTTCCCACAACCTATATTTAAAGCTAAGAAGAAACTATAGTATTAAAATAAAGCAAATCATGAAACTATATAAACCATACCATCAATCTGATATTCATAGATGAAGCAAGGTTATTAAAAGTCAACATCTTAGCAAGACCAAAGTCACCTATATAGGTGCACATTTTAACAAACTCACCATGTTTAAAATACATAATAATGAACAATTGATGCATGGTAAGAAAAGTAACAAAGTAGATCATGAAAATTAGGTGTAAAAAGAAGACTGACTATCTAGACATATGTCTTGATCTTTTATCAAGAATATATTTCAACACTAAAACAAAATTATAATTTAGAATATTGTAATCACAAAATTTGCATATATTAAAATTTTCATCTTTACCAAGAACTACCATTGACCTTAACATCTCAATGAAAAATATGGTTGGCATACAAGTAATCAAGTGCCATAACGAGTTGAACTAGCGACTTGTAAAATTTTTGTGTATAATTTATTAAGTATAAAAACAAAAAATATATTTAAAGTATTGCAGATAACTAAGTCTTTGCAAAATTGATTAAAACTTTTATTACGTCATCAAAGAAATGCATGCCATTGGCTCTTTTTAGAGCTTCTGTCCTGTACAAAAAACGATATCAATGTGCAATGTAAGAAATACCTAAAATAAAAAATCATGCCTTAAACAATTGCCATTTAACAAACAATTTCAAAACACCTACTTAAATATCAAACAAAACTTACATGTTAAGAATATATTAATTTCAATCTTAGCCTATTTAGATAACAATTCACTTTGAGTAGAGGTATAATTAAAATTTTCAAAGTTTAAAAAAGAACTGCTTGCTTAACCATTCTCCAATATTCATGCAATTTCCTCTATTCTTATTCCATGAATACTTCATATGGTTGCACATGCAAGCTACCAATGTCACCCAAGACATAGTTAAGAGACCTAAACTAAAGCTTTTATCAGACTATTTCATATTCTTAATAAGTTCAGGTTGCTTCTTGCTTATCTGGAATACATCAAAGGCAAATAATAAGTAATTCCTTAGAACAATCATGTGACAGCAAGAGAAAACGTTGAATAGTAATAAATACTAAAGAAATCCTCAATTACAAAAATATAATGGAAGAAAACTATAAACAAGCTAGCCATCACTAGTACGCTATAATAATTGTTTCTGGCCCATGTTATAATGGCCATAAGGCCCAAAGCAAAGAGTTTATTTGCTATAAAAGCTACAAAGTGATAAGATAATGGAGCATTAATGACATAATCATATCTTAATAGCAACAATCAACTAGGCATTTAGCCAAAGGTTCAGCTTAGGAAAAATCATAAAAAAAGCATCTAGAAGTTGCAATCTTGTGTCAATTAATCAGAGTTTAATTAATGACTAATTCTATACCAAAAAGGATAAATTCTAATATAAAGAGATAACTTATCAAAATAAAAAGCACATCATCAATATAACTTTACAATTTATACCAATCAAACCAGCTACAGACCTTAAAATATGACATATACTTGGCACCATCACTCTGTTAAATATTGCGCTTGTGTAGCTTGTCACCCTTCTTGGACTTTACTTCCACAGTCAAAATATTATATGAAGCATTCAAAAGAATACTATTTTTAGTGAAACCTTTTTGTACATTTTGATAATCCATGACAACTAATAAGATTCATTCACCATGAAATAAAAATAAATTGAAGAAATCTAAAAGAAACTACTACGACTACTATAACAAATTCCCATCATAAGACCTAAATGCAGTAAAAAGTTTCTCAAATATAGTTATGATTTACATAAATTTCTAGTTAAGCAAAAGTAATAAGATTGAGAACCATCTAAACCACAAATAAAGTAAAGAATGAAGCAAAATGTGATCCTAAAAGTTGAAAATAGCATTACAAGCATAGAAACTTCCACTAGGATGTCTGCAATGTAATTTTTCATAAAACCAAACCAACATACTATGTAAACATACCCACATAAAATGTTTATACTTCAAACCTCTTAGATAGTAAAGTAAAGTATATTGACTTTTTTTTCTTTGGTAGGTACATAATTTATAGATAAATATGATAACACTAATAATAATAAGAAAAAGCTATATGCTATAAAAAAAAGCCAACAAGTAAACCACTCTACAAATGAATAAACGAGCAACAATTTCTTAGCTCAAAATCCAAAGGTATTTCACTAAAGATGGGAAGAGGAAAAAAAGATCCAAGGTTACTTTTTATAGAAATCTTACCATTTAAATTTTGTAAAACTTGTTATGAAGATTATGAAGGTTACATACCTCATATATTAGTTAAATAAATGAATCAAATCCTCTTTCTGTAGTTATAAACGAGAACCAGTGGAGGAACTATAGAACTATGGGACTATGGAAAATGAATTACAAAAATCAAGCAAAGCATACTTTAATACAGCCATATTCAAACTCTTACTCTTGTGACTTCAACAAATGGGGCAAAATGACAATACATGTAACATATGGGTTCACCATGTAAAGGCATTACCTTGTTTGTATTTCTTAACCCTTCACAATAAAAGAATTTTGGTTATCACTACTGTATACTTTTTCATTTGCAACCCAAGAAAAAGATTCAAAAGTAACTATAACATCCTATTCAATACTGCCAAGCCTTAATTCATTTCAATGTGAGAAAACCCTTTTCACCAACCATTCTTTACTTACCAAAGAAATTAAATGTAACTCAAACATGAGATTTGATCCTAACTCACAATAACAATTACTGTTGAATAAAAAGTGAACAAAACAATTTAATCCATTGGTATTGTTTTGAAAAACCAATTACAAGAGGAAATGCTCAAAATCAAATAACTAATAGTATTGTATTCTGCATTATGACACTGTTATAATAATGAATCTGAGAAATAAGTTCCTAAAAGAGTATCCTTGTCAATGTATATGTTAGTTGGTAACACTTATTTCACAATGGAAAAACCTTTCTTTGTTGGGTTTTGGTTTGGCGGTTTGGAATTTATTTTGGGTAGCTAGGACAAAGACAAAAAAGGGATAAAGGGATTTGGAAAAGGAGTTTTTAGCACAAAAGTGAAAGCATGAAAAAGTTATGTTGCTAATAAAAGATAAGGATTGACATTGGTCATCAATGGCAACTGGCCGAGAACTGGAAAAAATAGTGGTGTTTAATTTGAACTGTCAGTTTTTTTAGCTTTCAAGCTTAGAACTGGAAAGAGGATGGAGAATGAGGGAATAATTTTATTTTTTAGCTTTTGTTCTAAACTTGAAATGGCATCATTTTGGGTCTAACCAATTACTGTTTTTTTTTTTGTTTATTATTTTTATTATTTATATTGTCATTCTGTTTCTTTATTATTCTAGTTATATTAATTTTAATTTAATTTGAAAAAAAAAATTCTATGTATGAAAATGAGTTTATTCTCCAGTGAAGCAACACTGTAAAAAAAAAAAAACTAGATTTCTAAAGTCTTTCTTTTTTTTTTTTTTAAATTTATAAGAAGTAGCTTGGTGAAAGTGAAGTATGAAAGATGAAAAAAAAAATTATGTGGCATGAAATATCCTATTTGAAGAAATAAGATTAAAAGTACTTTTAATAAGAAATACAAATTTTATGTTATCTGAAAAAACTCTATATATCATAATTCCTTTTTAAGATAAAAGTTCATTTTTCTACATGATTTGACACCAAAATTTATCAGGTTCGATAAAAAATCTCCAACTCATACGAGACTCTTCCTTCTTTAAAATTCTATGTCAACAATCTATTTCATATGAAATTTAAAAGTACCAAAGGAAATAAAATTTCAAACTTACTTTAAAAAAATACTAGCATACCTTGTGACAAGTATACAAAGGCAATAAATAAGCTTAACTTTGTTTTTAGCCATGTTTTAATTTGGTTAATTTCAATAAAGTAATCATTTTAAATTATTAAATGAAGTAAATAAAATTTGTCTTTAGTCATGAATATCTTTTTTCTATCTTTTTGTCTATACTAATTGAAAAAGAGTTAACGTATTGCTTATTTTTATTTCATTTGTGTTAATCATAATTTTAATTTAATAATACTAATATTAACAAAATTCTAGAAAAAAAATACTAAGAAGAACATAAAATTGCATTGATAATAAATTACCATTGATTCTATGTTTAGAGTTTAAATCTTTTTTTTTTCCTCCCATTGTAGAAAACACATATAGTTTGCATTGTTCAATTAATTTTACGAGTTCAAAAAGATGCTTTCAATTGATCATTCAAAGACTCGAAAACAAGTAAATATCATTACAAATATAATAAAAATTTTCGTAATAAATTTTTTTTAATTGTATAAAATATTTTTAAAAATTTAAGAAATAACATTGAAAATCCGTTGCAAATAAAATAAGTATTTGCAGCAATACGTTTTTATCATTACAAATATAATAAAAGTTTTTGTAATAATAATTTTTTTCATTGTATAAAATATTAAGAAAAAACTTAAGTAACGATATCGAAAAATTATTGCAAATTAAACAAGTTTTATGCAACAACTTTTTTTTTATTGTTATAAATAATATAAATTTTTTAAAACAACATTGTTTGTTGTTGTATAAAATATTAAAATATAATTTAAGCAACAATTTTAAAAAATTGTTTCAAATAAAAAAAAGTATTCGCAACAATTTTTATTATTGCAACAAATATAATAAAATTTTTCGTAACAACGTTTTTTGTCATTACATAAAATATTTAAAAATAAATTAAGTAACGATTTTGAAAAATCATTGTAAATAAAATAAGGTTTCACAATAATTTTTTATTGTTGTTACAAATAATAGATAAATTCACAACGGTAAATTTTATTGTTGTATAAAATATTTAAAAATTCAATTTTACAACAATTATAAAATATCATTATAAATATAAAAATATATCATAACATATTTTGTGTCGTTGCAAAATAAGGTTGCAAGGTAAAATAATCATTAAAAACGTTGATTAAAAACAATACGGAATAAAAAATTTAAATTATTTAATATTTATAAAATTAATAAATTATTGAAAAAACTATTTAAATTTTTTAAATTAAATAATAAATTTGTTAATAAATAATTAAATTTTATTTATTAGTTTATTATATAAACAATAAATTTTATTTATAATTAATTTATTATGTAATAATAAATTTTATTTTTATATAAAATTAACAAAATAATTTTATAATTTTTAAATGCAAAATTAAATAAAAAAATGAAAGTTGAAAGTTGTTAACTTGAAAGGAAAATTGAAAAAAAAATTGAAAGAAACTATGAAAATGGTAGACTGGAGCTTCATATTTCAATAAATAATCGGCGAAAATCACATCGCGTCGTACAAATTGTTTGGATCTCAAAGTTGTTGACACAATTTTTCATAATAACTGGACCACACTGTCCGCAATGCCATGAATTCTAAACCCAACCTTTAAAATTGGCAGAACCAGCAGTACAAATAGCACACAGGCAGAAAGAGAAATAACTCCGTGTATATGCCACCATGTCAAAAGGAAAAATAACGAGATAGAAGCACGGGAGTGAGGGGAACCGAAAGAGATTTTTTTGGGGAGATTTTATTTATAATATTTACTTAGGGAGATGCGGAAAGTTGTGGTCCGAATAATAGTTTGACCGATATTATTCATAAAATTTTGAGTTTTAAAAAATTTTCCTGATCATACACAAGAGATGATCTATCTAAAATTTTCATGATCACCGTACTGATTGGATTTCCCTTTCATTGGATGACAAATTTAAGTGGCATGTAGTTTCAAGTTTTAATTCTTGACGAATGAATCCTGGTTTTAGTAGCAAAACTAAAAATTTAAAGTCATCACAACAAGATTGACCATAAATAAAAGTCAGCACAGGATAAAAAAAATTGCTTTTGTGGCTTGATATTCACTCATATCAATTGGGTGGGGAAGAAAGGCTATTTTCAGTAGAAATAAGAAACTAATAATTTAGAAAGAAGAGATAGAAGATAAAATATGCCAAAACTTTATTTCAAAATGGTAGAATTTTTTTTATCATTAAAAGCTTAATTTGTGTCAGTAAAATTCATTATTTATAAAATTTCCAACGTAAATATTTTTTTTTTGAAAAATTTGAAGTCATTAAAGATATTTCATAAATTAAATTTTTCATCGGGAGATTTTAACAACAAAAAATTCTGTCTGTATTTCTTAAATTTCCGGTTGCTAATCATTCTATAATTGTGCTAAAAAACTATCGTTGAATCATGACAAATTGTTGTTGTTTTGAGTGTTGATTTCTCAGATCAAGGAGGAAAAAGAAAAAGAGACGAGCCCATTTCCACAAGAAACATCAACCGTAATTCATCATAACACATTTAAATGCGTCTTGCACAAGTAAAAATATTACCTCAATTCATCATTATTCGTTTATTTAGATCAGTAATTGACAGCAAAACAACCCATGCTGCCAATAGATATTCTAGTTAACCACCTTTTAACACTGGGAATATGCAACTCCACAAGTGCTAGCAACCTTTGCAGTATTGGGATTGTTAGCCAATGGTTTAAGAGTTGGGTCCTCGAGGTAACCACACAGGCATGGCGTCTGCTCCCTCAGCTTGCTGCAACAAGTCTCTGATGGAGGTGTCGACGATGTGATCGCCTCCAGGCATGGCATGAGCTCCGTGGCATTACATGTCACTGCCTCTGCGGTGTGTGTGTCACCTGAAACAGCAACACCACCAAGACCACCACAGCTAAGGTAACAAAGGAAAACCTCATGTTTTTTCCTGCACAAGATGCCTAGTACTTGTGATAAACAATAAAGTTAAATGGTATTTGGTGCCTTTTGGGCGTGATCTGCGCCACATATAACGGTAACAGCTGAAACTTTAATTAGACCCTGATTTATGGGTGTCAAACCGTCATGACCCAAGTTTTTTTTTTTTTTTTTTTTGGGGGGGGGGGGGGTGGTGGGGTTTAAACTTTTATAAAATTGGTTCTTTGGGGAATTGAAGAAGGTAGATCGCGATGGCGGCACCTGCACTAAGAAAAAAAAACAAGGGGTTTTTCTAAAACGTAATCTTTCTAGAAAGTAGATACGAACCAAACGGTCTCTTAGAGATTGGAATTATAATCTTGCTACTTGTATTAGCCTCACTACAAAAATCCATCATGCTTTACTTACTCTTTGGAGGTTGTAGATTAGTAGAAATAAATTTGATCTCTAGGAATGTCAAGTCTCCAATCAACAACTTCAGTCTCAAATCCATAACACTCATCTCTGGGCACATGTTTTTGTAGTAAGCAATCACTTGTTCCTCACCTACAGCTTCTACTCGAGGAAATAGGGAATATATAGGGAACTCCTTACACCTTGCTTTAGTCCAAAAATCCTTAATAACTGAACCTTATTTTATGAATCAAAGAAGCTCAGCAGAGTTGAATACTTCCATTCAAACCAAAGTACTAAGCCAATGATGGAAAAGAGAAAAAGGGAAACCATCCAAGACTGAAGCATCGCTAATTGGCAAAGGCTTAGCATAGCTTCTCTCGGACGCGGATCTAAATGTAAAGCTATGGTGTGCAAAGATTAGAAAACAAAAAAATTTTAGGGAACACCCCCCTTAGAACATACATCTCTAATTAAAATTAGTAAATCTGTCTGCAGTTTAGATGATAGCTCATCCTAAGCCACCAGGAACATAAATCCCTAACTAAAATTAAAAGCAAACTCATGCTGAATTCTACAAATTTTTATTCTTAAAAATCTTCTCTACCAAAAATAATGGCAAATAATGCTTCAATCAAGGGATTTAGAAATACAATGCATACAAAAAATGGATAAGAACCATAGGAACCAGAAAAAATGGAAGCATCTGGCAACCAAGAATAAAGAATTTGGCTTGTATTCAGCATGCACAACCACCTCTTTGCTCAGTCTCGGTCACAGCCTCTGGGATGCCCTGGAAATATCTGCAATCATACACAAACCGGATATCAGTCAAAAAAGGAATTATAAATGCATAGCCTCGTCAACAATCTTAAAAATTTAAAAACATCTATGCAAGAGCTAGGTACACACACACACCCAATATTTTTAAGGCGAAATTGGAAGAAGAAACAGTTTATTATGGTACTTTTGAAAGTTAATTAGTACTTTTTGCACCATTGAACAATTACACGTGAAACAAAAGTGCCCATGCATAAGAGAAAGAAAGAATGACAGAAAAGAATGCAATGGTCAAACTTAAAAATATAATTATTATATATCAATAGCAAAAACATGAAAATATATATCCTACTGAACTCTAAATAATTATCCACTTGTCACTTAGAATTGTTCAGGTCAGCATACCCCATTGAGCTGTCTTGAAGCAGCTGACATATTTGATTACATATTCTACTACATCTTTCCTAATCAAGCACACATAGATTAACTCTTAAGAGTAAGGATTATAGTAGCATATTTCGGCTATTAGTGAACCAATGTTCAAATGAGCATCTCGGTAAAGTTAAGAAATATGGGTGTAACTGAGGCATACTATACCTTCTATATTCTTTTCATTAAGAATCATAAAAATTTGTCAACTCCACACCACCAATTTGATATGACAAGGCAAATCAATTAGCACTCAAACAAGGTTTCCAAGGTGACAGTATAATTTTTACACCCTTAATGTAGTCCAAATTATAACAGGTCAGGAATGTTAAGGACAATACTCCCTGGAAACATCCACGTTTTCCCCAACCATTAACTATATAATGTCCCAAAAGCATATGCTAAATATCACAGCTGTGCAGTAAAAATGCAAGAAAAGATAATGATCATCTCTGAATCAGCAGTGCATGATGAAACCATGCTCCTTTCTGGGTCAATAACACCATCTTGGAACAATACTAATGTTCACTCCAAACATAAAATAGGCTTTAAGATAGGTAAACTTACATGTCCTGCTCACGCTCATTTGCTAGCGCAGTTTTGGCAATACAAAGGAATGCAGAATCAACATTGATATCTTCTTTTGCTGATGTTTCAAAGTAAGGTATGTTTCCTTTTGAAGCACACCAGTCTTTTGCTTTCTTCTCAGAGACCTGTAAGGCTCAAGGCACCACTTATTAGGTTGAGAAGTGAGGATAAAAGAAAATTAGGAAGTATTGCAACTATATATCCTTACCACTCGACTATTACCACCATCTATATCTATCTTGTTTCCAAGCAATATAAAAGGAAACGTCCTAGGGTCAGTTGGATTTGCCTGGCATGAAATGAAAATGAAAATCATATCAACATTTAAAACAGAAGGTAATCACTTTCTCAAAGAAACTAATAATATGTTTAGAGGAATGAAAAACATAGACATAAAAGAGTAAGCAACGTCAGAAGTTAAATTGGCTTCTAGGAAAGATCATGCACATTGCAAGGTGAGCAGGTCATGTTGAGCACTGAACTGTAGGGTCAGCAACAAATGTTTTCCCAATTTCTAACTAGGTGGGCATTGACATGATGCAACTAGGCATCAAAAAGAGAAAAAATCACATTCCCATGAGAATCAGCTCTCATTAAGAGTGCTGTTACGATGTACATATCTACCTACATACTCTTTTTAATCTGTTTACTTAAACCTATACTACTTATATAAACCAGCTTTGACTAGTTGACAAAGCAAAGGAATGATGGGAAAACCGACATTAATGGCCAAAAGAACAGCAGAAAGGCAACAAAATAGATCAAAGCAGAAAGTCAGTATGCACATTTGAGGTTATATCACTCGCTCCAGTGGCCAGAGGCAATTATCCAACAAAAGATTGGGTAAGAAATTACAAACTCTATGTTTCTTTTCTGTTCACAAAGTGCAAAATTGAATAAACATGAAAAAAAAAAACAAAACAAAGCTAAAACCAGTTATAACATGTGATTTGAGCCAGTACAATAGATAAAAAGAAGTTATCCAAAGAATTTATGAGCCCAACCACAATCTGACAAAACTAGGTTGAATAATGTATTTGAACTTATGCAACCATTAGCAATTCCATTATAAATATCAGTAAGAATTTGAAAGCATAAACTCCGAACAAGAAGTATCGCATGCATTTCTTCTTCAGTTTGGCATGTAAAAGAAAAAAAATCTTTGATCAAGGTCAATCAACAAAATACCACCTAGAAGAAAATTTGCTTCATGTCAGGTGTGCTTCAAATAATTAACCACTTTATCAAAAATCTTTGAAGAAAAAAATTCTTTGAAAAAAATTTTCTCAGAAACAATTTATCAAAAATTGTTCCTATTTAATACACATAGGTTAGCAAAAATGTCCTTGGGGAAGTTTACTAAAGCAGCTTCAACCTTTTAGTATATTCAGAAGCCATACCTCTGCACAAACTTAAAGATGTAAAGAAAATATCGGTGAACATAAGGATAAATGTCTTGGATTCTACTTTTTTTCTAGACTTTTCACGATTCATATGACTAAATAGAAGCAATTATCTCAAATGTCAGCCTTCCACTAGTCTAGAGTCAATCATTTTAAGATCGCTATAGTTAATGTTAGCCCATAAAATTGAAGAAGTTATGCCCACAAAGCAAAAGAACCAATTCAAACTCAAACTCAACTTAAACATAATTGGAGTTTCAAAGAAGCAAAAAATCTAGTAGACAGGGATGTGTGTGTGTGCATTGATGCGAATGTGGCATGTGCATACCAGGAGACAGAGAGAAGGTGAGATGCCTTGGAAGGAATTAATAAATAATTAAATAAATAAAAGTTTTTAATAGCTTATGAATAACCTGCAGTGATGCAGGGTGAATTCCACATTCAGCAAGATTGGCAAGGTTTTAACCTTTAGTTGTAGACAAAGTCAATGCATAATGCATTACTAGCCAACACCTACTGACAAAAGGAAAATATATCTAGTAACCAGAATTATCATGGCAAGGGTAATAGAAGCAGTACAAGCCAAAAAACCTAATACACTGCACATTCTTCTTGATATTCTTATAACCACGTAGATACTACCAAACCTTTCATTCTAGTAGAGGCATAAAAGCAACTTCAACTAAACATGCCATTCATTACAACACGCAAAATATCCCTAAAGAACTAAAACCAACAAGGAAAGTGATATGAAAGAATAGAGAAAGAGGCAAACAGAAACCTGTTTGAGAAACTCCTCATGCCAGTTATCAAGGTTATCAAATGATTTCATAACATTTACATCGTATACTAGCACACAGCAATCTGCACCCCTATAAAAGGCAACTCCAAGACTTTGAAACCGCTCCTGCCCTGCAGTGTCCCATATCTATCCAATCCAATACCCCAAAAGACCAAAAGAAAAATGCATAAACATACCCTCCATGACAACTTCAAAATTAAGCTATAAAGAACGTAGAAATACCCAAAAATTTAAAAACCCTACTTGCAAAGTGACGAGGCGATCATCAATCAGGAGTTCCTTAGTGACAAAATCAGCACCAATAGTTGCTTTATATTGCTGACTGAACTTCTTATGAACATATCTAAATTCAAGCAGTTAAATCTACCAAAATTGTAAATTATAAATAAATTAAAAATTTGAGATTATTCAGATGAAAGTTAACAACCTTAAAATCAACTTAACCCATGATACAACATTTAAGATCTAAAATTAACCCTCAAAAATGAAGAGAAAATTTACATAAAAATAAGATGAGAAGATCAAAATTGAACTAATGTTGAAAGGATACTGATTCATCAACGACGTCTTACCCACCCTGGCATTCGCAATAACCCATTAATTATACAAATAATAAAAATTTTCCAAAAATTTATAATATATTTTTAAAGACAGACCTATAAATTGAAACTGATAACGAACGTACCCGCTATCGCCGAGAACAATGACCTTGAGCAAGGTTCGTCTTCGCATTGACATGGCGGTAAACCTAACGGGAAATTTCAGTTTTGATTTATTAGATTTGAATTCTATTTACTTTATTTAATAAATATATATATATATATTTTTGGTTGTTTGATAGTACTGTAGATATGGATTTACACGAAATATATGGAAAATGATGGGAAAGAAATTCCTTTTTCCTTCTTTTCTCTATTGATTTTCACTTTTTCTGTACCGTCTTTTGTTTATTCTAAAAAGAAATAAAAAAAAAAAAAGAGTGTTTTTTTGGGAGAAAGAGAGAAAAGAAACGCCATTCGATATCTTTTTGTACACTTATTTTTAATTAATTACAACTTTTTGATTAAATACTAAATAAAATAAGGAAACCTTTGGCTAAAAATATAAAATTGGGAATTGCATGAAGAAGCTTAACTTGATATTTTTTATTTAAAATTATCAAATTTAAATTTAAATTCAAATTAATAAAATTAAAATTTTAATATTTTATGAGCATCTACCGCGGCATTTGCGCTGAACTTGATATGTAATATGTTGCTCCAGCATTTTGGACACTAGTGTCAAAGGCCAAGTGAAGCGAAAGTGACTTCACAAAATTTGGGTCCCACGTTTTTATTTATATTTTTCCTTTATTTTTAATTATTTTTTTTCTAAACAACTTTAATTGAAGTATTGATGTCTTATTAGATTGTGGTAATAATGTAGTTGTACAATGGTACTTTTTTAACGATATGCTTCTTTATTTTTTTTTTTTTCCTTAAGGTTAGAGTTTTTTTAGTAAAAATTAGGTATTTATATTAATTTATAAAATCTTTGATTGAATTAGTCTAACTACGAACCTGACAGTAAATCAATTGAGAAATATAATAAAATATATATAGTAGTAAAATTATATTCCCCCTTCCTTTTTTATTTTTTTTAAATTTCTTAAAGTTATGTCTTTTTTTTTTACATCTAAATGTTTTTTATATTTTAAATTATTTTTTATGATTTTTTATTTTTTAACATTAAAATTTATGGAACTTTAATTTTATAAAAAGATTTAAATTTTAATATTAAATATATTAATTCAAAATTTTTTTCTTAAATTTTGTAAAAATCAATATTAACCAAACAATTTGAGATGAAAGAAGCAATGAAATTAAATTTATCTTAAAATTGACTTGCTAAATTTAAAAAAAACATTCATCTTTTTTTTTTCATCCTAAAAGTAGATAGGGCTCTCTCCTTTTATAAAATTATCTGGAGAAAATTGTTTATAGTGCACTCCCCATTTATACTACACATAATTCATCATAAAATACAAAATTCAAAAAATTTTCAATAAACTAAATTTTCTTCTATAAAACATTTATTTAAACAAAACAATTGAAATGATGTATTTTAAAATGTCCTCATTTTAAATTTTTTCAAAATTTTAAAATTTTTAATCAAATGCACTATAAAAGCTAATAAACATTGTTACTTGTTAGTAGCTTATGCTTTTTTAAACACTTTCATGTACTGATATTAGATCTGTATGACACAAATATTCCTTCGACATGATAAAATATGTATTCAATACGCAAAGATACAACAAAAATAAAAAATATATTAATTCGACATGATTAGCACATCTTCGAACACAGATGTTTGAGTTTTGTTTTGAATTTGGAGTCCAAAATTTAAAAAAAAAAAAAAAAAAAAAAAAGCAAACACGAGATCAACAATCTTATTCAATCCAAGAGCTTCTTTAAACCTCAAACTCAAAATATAAACATAAATTTTTACTAACACTCACTTTCCCATTTTCTTATTTTCCTTAAAAACCTTTTACACTCATTTTCCATTCCTTCCCTTCTTCCCCTTTCTCAATTCACACCCTTCAAATCCTTCAAATCCTAACCAAATTTAATATTAAAAACTTCAATCCAAACTCTAAAATAATTTTATTTTGAATATTATAACTAAATCGACAAAATTGTAGTGATACAAAAATGTATTATTAGTTTATAGTGCATACAAAAATGTATATTCAAAATGTTTGAAAACTTTTCCAAAATACATCTTCGAAAAATTTAAAAACCTTTTGAAAATGTGTATCTGTCAGGCACACAAAAGGTACATATTTGTAAAATTTGAAAAGTTTAATGACCTTCCGAAAAGATATAATCAAAAAGTTTAAAAACTTTTTGAATATGTATTCTTATAAGAAATTTTTTTTTTAATTTTTGAATATATATTTTCAGAAGCATTATAAACAAAGAATATGAAGATTTTGCTGAGAGATAGAAAATAATTTAATAAAAATAATTAACTTCATTTAAGAATTTTTTGAAATAAAAAAATATATATATATATATATGTATAACAAATTTGAAGTGCAAATAGAAATTTCCTTTCAACTCATCATTAAAATTTGAATTAGAGAAAAGATCCAAACTGCCCAATCAATATTTTGAACCTATGAAACTAATCAATAAAATATTATACAAAAGAAGAACATCTAGTGACTCTCTTCAAAGGCAATAAAAGTAGGTATTCCTTTCTCTCTTTTGTATGTGCTTAAGAGTCATGGGATTGCTTTTTTTTTTAGAGTGCATTTGGTTTACGAGAATCCATAAATTTACTTTCAAAATCTTTATAGTTGGTATTTGATTATCACATTTGATTCAGGATAATCCGATTACACGATTAAATGTCAGATTCCAAACAATACCCAAAATCTCATAATTAAAAACTTATCTTTCCTCGTGGTATTCTAGGATTTCAAGAAAAAAATTGCTTTATTTCCAAATTTGACCTAAATAAAAAACTTTATCACATAGCCATTATCCTTTTGAAAAATAAGTCTAAAAGTGATTGTAACTCAGTTATAAGTTTTTTTTATAAACAATATAGTTTTTTTTTTTTTTTGGTTTTATGTTACAATTAAAGCGTTTCTAAGTAGAAACTCCTTAATTGATAATCAATTAAAACGTTTCATAATTTATAATTGATGATCAATTAAGGCGTTGGTGTACAAAAATGCCTTAATTGATAAATCATTATAATTTTTAAAATAGATGGGCAATTAATGCATTTTTGTACATAATTGCTTTAATTAATCAATTTTATAATTTAAAAGTTAAATCAATTAAGGCGTTTATGTATAGAAACGCCTTAATTGATCAATCATTATAATTTTTAAGCTAGATGGGCAATTAAGACATTTTTGTATACAAAGGCCTTAATTGATTAGTTTTATAATTTAAAAGTTAGATCAATTAAGGTGTTTGTGTATAGAAACGCTTTAATTGATTAATCATTATAATTTTTAAAATAGATTAATTAAGGCATTTCAGATTACAAACACCTTAATTGATATGTTTTATAATATCCAACAGATCAATTAAAAAGTTTGTGTATAAAAACTCTTTAATTGATCTAAATTATAATTTTTAAAATAGTTCAATTAAGGTAATTTTGCACACAAACGTCTTAATTAATGATGGTGTTTGTGTACAAAAACACCATAATTGATAAAAATAAATAAATTTTTTGATATTTAATAGACAAATATCATAACAAATTGGTCATTCTCAAAACCATCAATCATAATTATTAAAAAAGATCAATCAACGTGTTTGATACTTTGAACCTCTTAATTGATATTATTTAAAATTATAAACTAGATGGTGTGTGGTCCCTTTTATAATTTTAAAACATATCAATTAAGGCATTTACAATATCAAATGCCTTAATTGATCTTTTTTTAAAAATAAAATTTACCTTATCAATTAAGGCCTTCATGTTTATATTTGCCTTAATTGATGATGTTTTATAAATTAAAACAACCATCGATTAAAATATTCGTTTTCTTTTGTTACTAAAGATATCATTTGTTGTTCGTGTATTTTATAAAAAATCACACATTTTTTCAAAATCTAAGATTTAACGAACCAAACGCCTCTTTATCAAAATTTACTTTTTTTTTTTACTTTTTAAAATTATTCTGTGATAAATTTAAAAGTTTCATTTTTATAACTAGCACATGAGTGATCTGTAGCATGTAAACTTGTAATATGAATTGAAATAATTTTGGTGTTTTTAAATATTTATAATGATAATGATATTTATATTTTAGATTTAAATTTTGTGAAAAATACTATCATATATTAATGAAAAATATCAACATTTATGTATAGATAAAAATATTTTTATATAAAAATGTATAGAAACTAATTTTTATTATTGTATCTTATTGTACTTATGACTATTTTTTAAAAATTATCATAGTATCGTGTAACATATGTATTACGCATTTGTGTGTCTATCTCCATGCTTCATAGCTTGGCAACCTCTATGCTCCATCTCCTTTGTCCATTATATGATAGGTAACCAATATGAATTTATTATATGTATGTTATTTGCTAAATAAAAATGTTAAATATTTTGTAAAAATCTTTACGTGGATGTCACATGATAAAAATGATTGATCAATCATAAATAATTTTTACAGTTCAACAAAAATGTAATTTTAATTTACATTTAAGATGTTATTAGTATATGTAGTGAGCATATAACTTGATAATATTTGTCAAATGCCACATATATAAGTAGATATAATTAACAAAATTATAATTTGAGTTAAAATGATACATAATATGAAAGTTTACAAATTGTATATTATTTGAAAGTTTAAGGTATTAATTGTAAAATTTATTTCTTTATATACTAATTTGTATATTTTTTAAAATTTAAATACCACATTTGTACTTAATTTAATATTTCTTTTATAATGAATGATTTGACTCATGATGGAAAATATCATTAATTTTTGCACATTGTCGTTATTTCTTATTTCTAATGAATCTATATCACTTACATTTCTTGTATTATAATATTATAATTAATCAATCATAATAAAAAATTATATAAAGATCCATCACTTAAAAGTGCAGATTTCAAATAATTTTTTATAAATCTTACATAATATTGAATTGTAATTGATTAATTATTCTATAGTAATTATAAACATCCTATACCATTTTTTGTTTGTATCTAAAAAACAGATAAGATTGTAAGAAAAATTACTCATTCTCTTAGCATAAACTATTTCAATCCTCCAAAAATATAGAAGATTATTTTTAATTTTTAAGATTAAATTTACATGTTTTATTACACTTTTAAAAATTATATCAAGAATTTAAATTTTATAAACTTTAAGAAAGAT